TGCTTATTTAAAAAAATATAAGCGTTCCAGATGACTTTTTCACCTGATGAGTCACATATGTGTTTCAAAAATGTCACATGCAATATAATTACAAATAAGATAATTTTGATAATATCGTACTATTTTATTGATCTAACTATTTTTATAAGCAGTTATCGCAAAATATAGGAAAGTTATAATTTTACATTTTAACGTACAAAATATGTTTTTTGCGATACTCAAATTTTAATTTTCAAAATCACATAAATAGACAGTTTAATAGTTTCGATTCTAGATTTGCATCAACCATCCATGTAATCCATGAACTATTCAATAAATACAAATTTTTTGAAGAAATATTTAAAAATTAGCTTTTAAATGGAATGGAAAACCCACAATTTATTGCACATTTTCATCTATCGTTATTGTTGTTTTCTATAAAACGCAGGCATATTATTTAATTAATTTGGTTTAAAAATATACAGAAAAATGTCCATAAAATTTGAAATAGAGAATACTATAATATTATTATACTACAATACTAAAATTTTATTGCTTGTGTAAAATAAAATGTAATTTACCAAATTTAATTTAAATTTATTCATGTGTATCTTTGAATTAGAAGAATTGATTCCATAATCGAATTGTAATTAAAAAGTAACTAAAATAAACATTTTATGAAGATTGATTTACTTATTCTTATATAAGTAGCAAATTTGTTGATTTTTTATTAAATAATAAAAAAATGTTTGGCTAGCTTATATTAAATTTATATTTAATTTATTTATTAGCTTTATATTAAAATTAAATTAAAATAAATATTTTGCTTGTATTGCTTGCATGTGCTAGTACTTCTGCATTAAACATTTTGATTCTAGATTTTCATGACCAACCATGTGTAACAACAAAACTAACTAAAAATTTTTCAAGAAATATTTAGAAATTTAGCTTTTAAATGGAATAGAATTTATTGCACATTTTCATCTATCGTCATTGTTTTTAATTTCTTTAAAGCGCATGCATATTATTTAATTATTTTAAATTATTAAATTTGAAATATAGAATACTACAACCTGAACTAGAATACTATTGCTTGTGTAAAATAAAATGTAATTTACCAATTTTAATTTAAATTTATATATGTTTAAATTTGAATTAGAAGAATTGCTTACATAATCGAATTATAATTAAAAAGTAACCAAAATAAACATTTTACGAAGATTGATTTATTATTCTCATATAAGTAGCAAATTTGTTGATGTTTTACTAAGCAATAAAAAAATTGATTGGCTATCTAAGTGACTTCATATTAAAATTAAATTAGAATAAATATTTTGCCTGTGTTGCTATCAATACATGTGCAAGTACTTCTGAATTAAACATTTCGATTCTACATTTGAATCAACCATCCATGTAATCCATGAACTATTCAATAACAATAACTACTAATTTTTTCAAGAAATATTCAAAAATTTAGCTTTCAAATGGAATGGAAAACCCACAATTTATTGCACATTTTCATCTATCGTCTTTGTTATTATCGATAAAATGCAGGCATATTATTTTATTAATTTGGAATACAGAAATACAAAAAATGTATATAAAATTTGAAATATGGAATACTATAACCTGGACTAAAATACTATTGCTGGTGTAAAATAAAATGTGATAAATATGAATAGCTTTCATAATCGAATTACAATTAATTCGGTTCTAGATTTTCATGACCAACCATGTGTAATTCATGAACCATACAACAAAAATAACTAAAAAATTTTCTAGAAATATTTAGAAATTTAGTTTTTAAATGGGAAACCCCCAATTTATTGCACATTTTCATCTATCGTCATTTTTTTTAATTTCTTTAAAGCGCAGGCATATTATTTAATTATTTTAGATTACAGAAATACAAAAATGAATATTAAAATTTAAAAATGAAATTTTAAAATTAAAAAATGAAAATTAAAGTTTGAAATATAGAATACTACAACCTGAACTAGAATACTATTGCTTGTGTAAAATAAAATGCAATTTACCAATATTAATTTAAATTTATATATGTTTAAATTTGAATTATAAGAATTTATTCCATAATCGAATGGGTGAAATGATCGAATTAAATATTCTACGTAGATTATAGGCTGCTTTTGATATATTCATTTTTATGTAAGTAGCAAATTTGTTGATGTTTTATTAAACAACAAAAAACATTGTTTGGCTATCTAATTAGCTTTATTTTAAATATAATTAAAATAAATATTTTACCTGAATTGTTTGCAATACATGTGCAAGTACTTCTGAGTCTCGATCTGTAAAGCCCCATCCAGCAACTTCTGCATAAGTCCCCACATAGTCCTTGAAAATCAAGTCTCCACTAATTGTACAAATTGGATACACCCAACCTTTAGAACAATATTTTTCATATTTAGTTACGTAACTTAGAAAGCGCATTTTAAAATGTTTCTGTGCAAATATGATAAATGTATGTAAAATTTCTCAAAAAATGGTAGAGAAATTTATAAAAAAACATTATTTATAATATAATTAATTTTATACTTGAATATTTTAGCTACGTTATTTTTAATTTTTTCAAAGTTACTCTATTATATACTATCTAAAATATGCACATTAGCATTTTTAAATTATTTGGACATTCTGCTCTGTATTCCCAAACCAACCAGCTTTTACTACAAGCTTCGTTAATCTGTTCTCAACTTCGAAAGTGCAATCGAAAAGTGTTTTGAATCCTTTTATTACATATTACTCTCTCTATTTGCTTTAAAAATTTTAGTTATTAGTGTAAATTCTCAATTACAACTGTCGAACTCGAAAATCAATTAATCATTGTATCCATAAGTAATATATCTGGCTAATAATTATTCAAGGCATTTTAGTAAAAGTTAACTATTAAAATTAATTGTCCTAACAAAATAGAATTTACGCACAAATTTTATAGTACATGTGGAAAATATTTACTTTACTAAAATATCACACTCAATCTCACAATTATCATATTGTTCTAGAATAGCGTTTATAACAGTTAATATATTTTCTAATTAAAATCGCTATCAATGAAGTAATTTAATTGTTGTTAATATTTTTGTATAAGTTGCGAAATATTGTTTTTTAGTCCATTTGTTTTTGAAATTCGAATTTTAGTCTTTGTTAATAACGAAATTTTACAATTTTATTACTATATGTTATTTAATACATATTCTTTTAGCAACATATTTTGATTTGTAAATTGATCCATAATTAATCAGCTATTTTAATATATAACTACTATTTTATAACAATTTATTATTATTAAATTATATTTACTATATGCTGATAATTAACTATGTGGTATTTTGGTAATCGTTAATAAATGGTGTTTTTTGGCATAGTTTATTTTGCAAACTAGTTATTATATATATATATATATATATATATATATATATATATATATATATATATATTGTAGTGCCCCTGTTCTCAACCAAAACTCTACTATGATTCTGTTTTTGACAACATTTATACAGCAAAATATTGGTAAATAATCATAATAATGATTTTAAACTTTTTTTCTCAAATGATTAAAATGAGTTGAAATTTGTTTACCGATGTTTTCTCAGTGCAATAAAAACACATTTTATTTTTTTTTAAATTTATGATATATTGCTAGTAATAGTCCGAAGATTACAAATCCGATAACTGATTTTTCCTTGATAGTCCTTACTATTAAAGTTTACCTCACCTAATATTATTGCCGCTTAATAAAGTTGTAATATTATTTTAATAAATATAAAGTTATATTTACTAAAATTTTAAAGCTTATAAAGTTTTAAGCATTTTATTTGTTTTGTAATTTTGATATAAGTAGTAATTATATAATTTTTTGCTGATTTGGAGTCAGAGTTAGTTAAATGAAAGTCCATTATATTTTTAATCCGCTTGATGGAATGTAGTAATTTATTTAATTGCAATTTAGTAATCTATTTTATTGTTATAAATTTTTGGTGAACGATTTTGGTTGAAGTCCTTACGTTCAGGACTTAAACAATTTAAATATGATTAGTAATTTGGAACTTTTTCCTTACTACATATAATTTGTCTATTGACATAGTTTATATTATATTAGCATTTGTTAAAAAAAAATTCATGATACATGGTTACTAGTCCCTGGTTACACTACCGCGGTTTGATGTTTCTTAACCCTCAAACATTGGAACTATATTTTCTATAAATGCATGTAAAAACAAAATAATAATTACCATTTTTATTATATTTTCTATCCAATTTTATCAGAGCTATATCATGTTTAAATAGTTCGTCTTTGTATTCTGGATGTGGAATTATTTTCACAGGATCGAAATCTTGGACAGGTTCTGCGCAAACATCGTCCTCGCAATCTATACCCGATTGATCATTATGTTCGCCGAGTCTGACTCGCGCTCTAAAAATAAATCAGAAACATTATTATATTTTTAATAAAATATTTAATTTTACATACATTTTGATCCAAGTTCATTTTACATTATTGTATTATGCAGAATTGAAATACTGTGTTCTGATTAACCACTAGATATTTTGGATTGTGGCAATCCAAATGATTGTTGCAAACAGGTCAAACTTAATTACTCAGAGCAGGCTCTGAGGACGTTTCCTCCAGATAATCAATTTTGGCAACTAAATTGTTGCAATTAAAATCAAAATAAAACAAATTTTTCAACAATAGTAAATAAATTCAAATAATTGTTATCGTCCCCGCAAACTATACCCGATTGACCATTATGTTCGCTGAGTCGGATAAGCGCTCTAAAAATAAATCAGAAATAATAAAATATTTTTACTTTAAGATTTAATTTTTAATAAATTTTTATCTAAGTTCATTTTACATTTTTGTATTATGCATAATTGAAATACTCTTCGTTGTGATAGCCACTCGATATTTTGGATTGTTGGCAATCCAAACATATCAAACGTAATTACTTAGAGCAAGTTCTGAGGACGATTCCTCCAGATAATTAATTTTGGCAATCAAAATCGAAATAAAACAAATTTTTTAACAATAGTAAATAAATTCAAATATTTTTGATCGTCCCCGCAATCTATACCCGATTGATCACTACATTCGCCGAGTCTGATTTACGCTCTAAAAATAAATCAGAAATAATAAAATATTTTTACTTTAAGATTTAATTTTTCATAAATTTTGATCTAAGTTCATTTTACATTTTTGTATTATGCAGAACTGAAATACTCGGCGTTCTGATAACCACCTAGATATTTTGGATTGTGGCAATCCAAATGATTGCTGCAAACAGGTCAAACTTATTTACTCAGAGCAGACTCTGAGGACGTTTCCTCTAGATAATTAATTTTAGCAACTAAATTATAGCAGTCAAAATTGAAATAAAACAAATTTTTCAACAATAGAAAATAAATTCAAATATTTTTGATCGTCCCCGCAATCTATACCCGATTGATCACTACATTCGCCGAGTCTGATTCGCGCTCTAAAAATAAATAAGGAATAATAAAATATTTTTACTTTAAGATTTAATTTTTCATAAATTTTGATCTAAGTTTATTTTACATTTTTGTATTATGCAGAATACTAAGACTTAGATATTTTGGATTGTTGGCAATCCAAATGATTGATGCAAACAGGTCAAACGTAATTACTCAGAGCAGGTTCTGAGGACATTTCCTCCAGATAAATAGTTTTGGCAACTAAATTGTAGCAATCAAAATCAAAATAAAACAAATTTTTTAACAATAGTAAATATATTCAAATAGTCTTTATCGTCCCTGCAATCTATACCCGATTGGTCATTGTGTTCGCCGAGTTTCATTCGCGTTCTAAAAATATATCAGTAACATTATTATATTTTTATTAAAATATTTAATTTTACATACAGTTTGATTTAAGTTCATTTTACATTTTTGTATTAGGCAGAACTGGAATACTCGGCGTTCTGATAACCACTTAGATATTTTGGATTGTTGTTAATCCAAATGATTGCTGCAAACAGCAGGTTCTGAGGACGTTCCCTCCAGATAATTAATTTTGGCAACTAAATTGTTTCAACTAGCTGTAAGTGGAATTCTGTCTTAAGGCAATTAAGGCATCGTGCCTTAAGGCAAATTGCTGGAACTTCCCGTACCAAAATTTTTTTTTGAAAAACGATTAAGATTTTTGAAAAAATTTTACTTCGAAAAAATAAGATTTTTGAGAAACTATATATTGGACAAAAAATTACTTTTTTTTGAAAAAAAAAATTTTTTTTTAAAAATTATTTTTTTTTTATATTTTTTTTTTTTTGAAAAAAAAATGTTTTATTTTATTTTGACATATTTTGGAAGATCTAAACTTTTTTTTCAAAGCAATCGTACTGCTTTAACTGCATAAAGACGAAATATCAAAGCGCGTAAGCGCCGCGTCGCCGTCTAACGCGTAAACATTGGTACGGAACCTATAGGAATGTTAACAAAATGTATACTTATTGTTAAAATCTCTATAAAATATCTGATAATTTGATGTGCATATGTCTAATGATCATTTTTGACCGCCAAATGGCTCATTTTTTTACTTTTTTCTCCATATCTCCGAAACCGCTAGACCTACCTTCATGAAAATTTTATGGATTCTTCATCTTGTCAATACAAGTGAAATGTTTTTTGAATTATTCAAATCGGACGCTCCGTTCTCTTAAAAACTGAGTTACCGTTTTCGGTACTTTTTGCCCCGTATCTTCGGAACGGCTGGACCTGCCTTCGCCAAAAACTAATCAGCACGTCTCCTTATCAATACGAATCGAATGTTTCTTGAATTATTCAAATCGGTTGATCCGTGTTCCCGAAATCGTCGACGAAAATTTGTATCCGCACATACATACACACACATACATACATACATACATACATACATACACACACACACACACACACACATACATCCATTTTTTCTAAGGTATGCCAAAATGTTCAGAAACCTCTGAAACGTAAAGATATATAAAAATTTTCATTTTTGATTTTTTTGCGATTACTATAACTTGCCCTACGGGAAGTTAATTAAAATTGAAATAAAATACTTTTTTAACAATATGAAATATTTTCAAATATTTTTGATCTCTTTGGATATTTTTCTAAACTACTCTTAGTAGTCAAAAATACATCATAAAAATATTATTAATTGTATCCCTCATCCATAACCACATATCAATTTTATGTATTTATAAATATTTTTTTTATATTTATATAAACATTTTATAAAAAACTTTTACTCATAAAACCAACTATAACCTTCACTTTAAACTTATCCTTGTCCCACAAAGCAGAATGGGTCGATGTTCTAAGAACTTATAGCATTATTATTGGCTTTTGGTGTCTTTTCCTTATGGAGTTAATGAGGACTTTTAGTCCAAATGTGGTGGTGGAATTCTGAGCATTTTCCGATGACAAAAATTCTACTAATTTGGTAAAATTCTCTTATGATATACTCACCCTATATCTAAATTGCATTGCGCACTAAAAAGTGGACATACAAAGAAAATTAGTTTTTTGCATTCCTAATTATTCTCGGTTTTATTCTTGTAGGTCGGATGCTAGAATAACCTACTACCAATTTCATTTTGTGACTTTAAATTAGCTACTTTTGACTTTTAATAATGCTAATAAAGTATTTCAAATTTTGGTGTAGTACTGACTGTATAATGACTAATTTGGTGAAATTCTCTTATGTTACGCTTAGCCTTAATCTGTATTGCATTGCGCACTAAAACGTGGGCATATGAAGAAAAATAGTTTTTTGCATTTCTAATCATTTTCGGTCTTATTCTTGTAGGTCGGATGCTATAATATAACAACTATAAATCTTATTTTGTAATTTTAAATTGATCACTTTTGACTTTTAATAATGCTAATAATGTAATTTCAAATCAATAATTTTACAAGTTTCTGTTTGCATTTCCATATTGTTTTATTATTTATCAAACTTAATTTTTGGTGTAGAACTGACTGTATACTTATATATACATACATGTATATATATATATATATATATATATATATATATATATATATATATACTAGCAGGTTCTGTCAAGCATAGCTGCTCAAGCAAGGTTTTATTGCATATATTACATTTTAATAAATTCTTTAAGGAGGACACAAAGAAAACGCATTGTTTTTTAGTAACATTCAACAAAATATAATAATAAGTATTTTTATTCTGATATCAATTATGGCTAATCGTTTACAATATTTTTTGCGATCGTAATACGGTGTGTTGATCAAGTTGGTGGATGAGTGCTTTTTCCATAACTAATCTGTATCCCATTGTAATATATACAATTTTTATATTGTTTTTTCAATTTTTGTGTGCTTGCAACGGATAACATATTGTAAATATAATTACAAACAGTATTAGAATAATGTTGGGTTGAATGTTAAGTCCCAATAGTTATCATCTACTAGGATTTGGCAATTTGAGAGATGTATTTTTGTATGTGTTGAATATACTCGTCCATTAATTTTTCGGAAAAAATAGTAAGGCTAGAAGTCGGAAACTTTTATCAAGAAAACATATTACGTTGTACCGTGCAAAGCCTTCCAAATGTTTTTTAAGCCTTCCAAATCCCTTAGTTTTGAATATACTTGTATTATACAGGCTTGGTTTTTCTTGTTTTTGTTGCTCACATTTTTATCATACTTTTTCCATGTAAACTAACATCAAAATAACAGACTTTTGAGAATTAGTCGGCTTCTGCTTGGGATCGCTCCTTTTTACGTTGTTTGCTGAGCTTCAAACGCCCTTTGGGAAACATTGCTATATATATATATATATATATATATATATATATATATATATATCTTATATATATATATATATATATATATATATATATAAGATATTTACTATTACTGACTTTGGCAACTGACTTTTTGCAACAAAATTTGAAAGAGTTTTAAATCGTTTTTCAATAAAACACCACATTATCAAGTATTTTTTAATTTTATCTGATATTGCGTGTTAGCTAAGTATAAAAATATATTTTAATCCACTATAATAAATATATGGATATGTTAGGCTAAATAGTATACTGACTACCACCGTTAAATGATATTCATTATTTTGCCCATATTACGTAACCTTGCTTGTCCCTTATGTTATATTTATGTCTATATCTCACCTTTTATGATAATTTTATTCAATTTAAATTTTATAGCATTTTTATCTAATTTTTTAACATTTCCAAATATTTTTGAATATTTTCTAATTGTAGAGAAAATTTTAGTTCCGGTCTGATGATTTTTATTCATAACTCATGTATTATTTGTTGCCGACATTATCTTGGTTTGTTTATCGAGTGGGTTTTAAACAAAACACATTTCTAATTTTTAAATTTAGTAAGAACTGTTATATACACCGATATATTAAATTTTGAATGAAACTGATTTGAACGCTTTTTTGGTAATATATTTAGCAATGTGTGAATTTCGGATTTTTTTTACATTTATTTGAATACCTTAGAAATTTTACTCTGGACACTGTTTTATGTATATCAAAGCAAAACTATATTTGACTGAACTTTAGTTGAAGCTGTTATTCCTGCATAGAATTTAAAAGTTGAAAGTTGAATTTCGTAGTTGAAATAATTCGAGCTAAGGCACTAATCATTAAACTTGTATTTAATAGTTTTAGAACACTTTTTACTTTTCTGCACATAATTTCAAATTTTTATTTTGAACATTACAAATTGTACATAATTACATTATAGTAAGAACAAGATAAAATTTATTAAAACCGTTATTTATACTTTGGTATTAAAATTTTGAATAATTCGTAGAAAAGTATACTTTAGTGCTTTGAACTTCTTACATAATTTTTAGAACATTTTTACTTCTCTTCCAATTTTCATTTTAGACATCATAGGTTATACACATTAGCACAAACTACCTAAAATTTACTAAAATCCAGTTGAAATTGTTATTGACACTTGGATATTAAAATTTTTGAATAATTCTACACATATCAATTTATTATTGCGAATATTTGTACAGGGACCGCCTATAGTGTGTTAATATATAATTTGCTAGAATTTGTTAGCACAAATAAATCATTGAAATTATCAGAATTAACAGTTTTGATTCAATTTCAAAATTTTATCTTCTACATCATAATATTTTCTGAAAATTTTCTGTAGTGACTTACTACTCTATATATATTCAGGCCACACGAAATTGTTTTTTATGTAAGATATCTTATTCAAATAGATTTATATTTAATTTGCTAAAATATTTAATAAAGATAAAAAATAATCATTATGAATAAAAATAATAATTTGAATAAATCAATTTTCACGGCTTTTCTAAATTTTTCTGCTTCGCATCATTTAAAAACTTTTTAAGTTACTTTTTTATAAAGATACTGCCCACGTCAAATTATTTTCTACATTAATCCTAATTAATTAAAATAATATATAATTTGCTACAATTTGAGAAAATTAAATTATTATGATTATCAAATTGAATCAAAAAATCATTAACTAATATTAAACAATTACTGTATTAAATTCATGATTTTGAAGTTGCACATTAATTCATGACATTCATAGTTGGTTCTGAAATGTTGGTCATATTTAATTAGAGTATAATATTTTTATAAAATTGTTTTATAATATTTTCTATTTTAAAATATCTCTTCTATTCAATTTTAGTTTGCTTTTTTATATCATTTGCAGATTTTAAACCATAAGATTACCGAATATTGTTTGCTTATAAATGAAACAGATTTAATTTCTTTCAAATGGATATAAGACATAATTAATTAACTGAAAGTATTTAATTATGCCAAATTGATATAAAAATTTATTTTAAAATCAAAGCATTAGTATTAATTTAAATTTCGAATTTTTAGATGTTTCACATTTCTTTGTAAAATGATATCTCTATTTAAGTGGATTAATATTTAATTTGCTATCATTTGATAAAATAGACAAAAAATTGTTATAATAATTTGAATGTATAAATTTTACCGATTTTCTAATTTTTCTGCTTCGTATCGTAATATTTCCTAGCATTTTTTCTGTTGTCGTTTTTTAGACTCTTTATAAGTTACTTTTTTATAAAGCTACTGCCCACGACAAATTATTTTCTACGTTAATCCTAATTAACTAAATTAATATATAAATTGCCAAAATTTGGGTAATTAAAATTATTATCAAAATTAATTATTATAATCGCTAACTATTATTTAACAATTACTGTTAAAATTCTTGATTTTTGAAGTTGCACATTCATTTATGTCATTTTTAGTAGGCTCTGAAACGCAGGTCATATTTAATTAGAATATAATATTTTTACAAAATTGTTTTATAATATCTCTATTTTAAATATCTCTTCTATTCAATTTCAGTTAGCTTTTTATATCATTTGCGGATTTTAAACCATACGATTACCGAATATTGTGTGCTTATAAATGAAACAGTTTTCATTTTTTTTTCAAACCATGGATATATAAGACATAATTAATTAATTGAAAGTGTATTTAAGTTTATAAATACATGATCAATGAAAACAAACTTTATAATTTAAAAAAAGCAATTTAGTGTAGAGAAAACTTATCTGCAAATTTATCTGCAAAATTTTAATTATACCAAATTGAAAAATTTTATTTTAAAACTAAAAGCAATAGGATTATATCAAATTTCAAATTTTTAGATGTTTGACATTTCTTTGTAAGATATTTTCATTTAAGTGGATTAATATTTAATTTGCTAGCATTTGATAAAATAGACGAAAAATGTTATAATAATTTGAATGTATAAATTTTACCGATTTTCTAAATTTTTCTACTTCCTACCGTAATATTTCCTAGCTTTTTTTCTGTTGTCGTTTTTAGAATCTTTCTAGTTACTTTTTTATAAAACTACTGCCCACGTCAAATTATTTTCTACATTAATCCTAATTAATTAAATTAAGATATATTTGCTAGATAATTAAAATTATTATCAAAATTAATTATTATAGTCATTAACTAATATTTAACACTTACTGTTAGTTAAATTCATGATTTTTGAAGTTGCACATTCATTTATGTCATTTTTAGTAGGCTCTGAAATGTAGGTCATATTTAATTAAAATATATGTTTTTTTTAAATAGTTTTATAATATTCTCTATTTTAGAATATATCTTCTATTCAGTTTGAGTTTGCTTTTCTACCGAATATTGTATGCTTATAAATAAAATTTTTTTCAATTATATTTATTCAATTATTTAATATAATTAATGTTTACGTTTATAAATATATATGAACAAACAGAAACAAAATAGATTCTAATTTATGTAGCCTCATTACACATATTTATAATACAACTTAGTTTAGACAAAACTTACATGTAAAGTTATTAAATAAACCAACAAATTATGCCAAAATGATAAATTTTGTTTTAAATTTAAAAGCAATAGGATTATATCAAATTTCGAATTTTTAGATGTTGCTTTAAAAATAGATTATTTCAGTGATCTTCAATATGATTGAATTAAATTAACATTCAGATGAATTTTGTGAACTTTTCGATAAATATACTTTTTTTTAATTTAATTTTATATTAATATTTTAAATTTTGTATTTGAATACGTTCTTTTAATATATATATTTTATTTCAATTTCGAATAATTGTAATAACAAATATTGGGAAAATGCTATTGAGGAACTGTACATATACTTTGTTCATGTAATTAAAAGTATAATGATTTTTATTATAAGCTCGATATATAATTTAACCAATTTATAAAACTACTTATTATAGCATAATTCTCAGAATCAATAATTGTTGAATCATATAAATATTAAATCAATATCATGTGTTATTCGATTTCTTAATATTTTATTATTAATTCATTTGTGAAAGGCGATTGTTATCCATCATTTTTATTAGTCATTTAGAAAGTAGGTTTCTCATATGCAATGTGTAGAAATTGCATGTGGAAAATAAGGAAATGAGCATAGATTATTAATACAATGATTTCATTATATGCATTGCAACATTTGTCACCTTTCTCGATGAATGCTTTTATTGATAATAATAATTTACTTATATAATTGTAGTTGGCACCAAGATTATTATATAATATATAAAAATTTAACTGTCTATTTTATTTAATTCTCAAATGATTTTGTTCTGTTCATACTGGATGCAACTATGATATTTCTAAATATTATTTTTTGAGATTTAACCCAATAGTTAATACCTCTTGACTGATTTAATCACATTAATTTTTTTTACCAAGTTAATATGTAATATATATTTTTTCCTCTTTCTATCTTATTTGATATTCGAATGATTTTGTTCTGTTCACTGGATGAGACTATAATATTTTTAAAATCTGTTCTTTAAGATTCAATCATCTTCATTGTAATACTCATTCTTATAGAAACCTAAATAGATGATTAATTTTGACTGATTTAATAATATGAAAATCTTTTGCAAAAAGATTGTAACTTGAGTGCTCATGCAAATATAAATAATTGATTGCATCAATTATGACTGCCAAAATGTTATATTTTGTATCGATTTATTGTTTTTTGTTATCTACATATACTTTAAACACCTAACCAGCTATCGACTTATTTAGACATAAATCAATAAATATATTTCGTAATTTTTAGTACTTCAAAATACTAATAATATTAATCATAAATTTATTGATAATAAGCTGTTATTTGACGAGTTTTAATCAAGAATTAATTATTATAAATTTTAGTATATCTCATGAATTTGGGTAAATGAATTTTATTTTCAACAATTCCTTTCTTTTCAAATCATAATTTTAATTTTAAAGCATACAATTTTTTTTCTATGTTGATTTTATATTTATATCAAGTATTATATTTCAAGGCATTGTTAAAATCTGGTGTATTATCGTGGAAAATAGATAGTAATTTGTAGGCTAAATCGGATTAAAATTATTAAAATTATTTTAGTTAGATTATTTTTTTACTTACAATGTTATTGAAGAAGGCAGGCCCACCACACAATGTGCTGCAGAAACAACATATAAATCACTTATTAAAGAAGCACCGCATTCGAAAACCAGCACTTTATTTTCATCCAAATATTCAGCATCAGAATAATCGTACATATCAGGATACAAAATCTTTTCTGAAACAAAACAAAATCACTAGAATTACCAATTTCAAATATTTTATAAAATTCGATACACGATACACGAATTCGCAGTGCATGAATATGTCCGACTAGTGGAAGTTCTTATTTTATTAATCAATTTTAGGCAAAGCATTTTAAATATTTTGGCGATCGATTTAAATATATGTATGTTACGACGAATTTTTGTTACAACTGTTAATAACATAAAATTACAAATTTACTTTCTAGAAAATTATTTCATCATATAATAAATCATATAGATATGATTTAATCTCAAAAATAATTTTTTATTTGCGCTAAAAAACTCACTGACAATCATAATCATTGTGTAAATATTTATTCCTAATTTTAATTCACTAATTTTGCGTGATAGTAAAAATCATTTATTGCCTCATCTCCAACACGTCATATTTTTGTATTTGATATTGTACAAGAAATCAATTCAAAGATCAAGTTAAATATGTATTTAAGGAACAAGTTAAATTTGGAAACTGCAACAAATAATATAAACACAATATTTAAACCTAATAACTGTAACGAAATAAAATATTGGAATAATAAATTTTAAAATCGATTCGATTGAAATTGAAAATATTTTCTTTAATAAATTTAGTAACCAATAGTATCTCATAATTTTGTTTAACACTAAATATTAAAAAAAAAAATTTAGTGTTAAGACGTAATCTATCCAGTACCTCATGAAATGTCACTCGTAAGTTTTACAATAACCAAATTTTTAGAAAAGATGTAATGAAAAAAGTTATCATTTTCACAATTAAATTTATCAATATTTTTCTCAAAAATATAAATCACACGCTGTGGCAAATTTTGTTAAAATTATTAGCTTGTTTTTTAAGAAGTTTAATATGATGATTAAAACCGACCCATTTTCTTCGCTTTGTTTTGTTAAAACATTTGAGCAACATATATATATATATATATATATATAATTAAAAAAATTTTTTTTGTTCAGATTAACTATTAACTGACTATTAACATCTTTCGACAAAAAAATTTTTTTTGAAATGTATATGCCATAAGAATTTTATTTAAAAGCAAGAACTTTCAAATAAACAAATTTTACAAGTGTAAATATATTTTAACTTTTGGTCTTAACAGAATTTCTTTGTAAGAGTAATAATTCAGAACACGATGTGTTAAGAAAAATTGCTGAATATTAAATATTTGATTTTCACGATTTTAAATGAAACAATAAAAAGTAAAAACTATTAACAGTTATTTGTTCATTAATGGGATCCTTTAACTCATTTTATGCCAGATTTTATTTTAAATCATTTTATATGCAATTTAAATTCTATTGCAATGATTTTTTTTATTTAATTTTAATTTTCACTTCCATTTATAATTTTTTCTAGCTATTTGTATGATAATATAAAATTTTGATTAATTTTTTTTTGGTCACACAAAATTGTTTAAATATAATCCTAAATAATAATAAGTTGATGAAGTGGCGGACGTAGCTCAGAGGTAGCATGTCCGACTCACATGCCGGAGATCGTTGGTTCGACTCCTGGCGCTTCTAAATAATTGTTAATAATAAAAAGAAGTTTAGAAGATGAGAAGAACATATTGAGAACAAGAAGAAGAATGAAAATTGAATAGAAGATTAGGATATAAGAAGAGATAGTATATATATGATGAGTATAAGAAATATATAGGTAAGAATTGTATAGAATATGATGAAGAATAAAATGAATAATGTATGTGGCTAAAAATGCTGTAAAGCGGAGGCCAATAAAATTTAAAAAAAAAAAAAAAAAAAATAAGTTGATGAACAAATCATAAAATCTATAACGATTAGAAAAAATATTATAAACTAACAGGTAAATAAATATAAAGTTGTTGTCTATTTTATCTTAAAACATTTTCACTTTTTATTTGCAAGAATATTTTTAGAAGAAATATTCAGAAGATTGTTGTATTTTGATATTTTCAGATAATGATCTTCTTAAGAAAATATTAAAAATACTAAAAACTATTTTTAACTGTTATTTTTCCATTTTATCTAATTCCTAATTATATTTCCTAAATTATTTTTAATATAAATAATTAATTATTGAATATTTTTTTATTTTTATGTACTTTTGGATGTGCACAAAATTAATATGATATTGCCTTAAAAGACGTAGTTATCATTATTACTCTGATTTTGTAGTTATAAACAAACAATCAAATATTTTTTTACAAAAACCTTCAAATCGTCAGTGATTACCTATATTTTGTGCCTAACACAAATTATGATGTTTTTTGACAAATATTTTTCATAATTTATGATTTATTTCAGTGATATGCTGATTAAGTTCCAACGCCTGGTACAATTTTTGGCATACCAAATTATTATATCAAATTTGTCAGAATTACTGTCGGTACAAGTCCGTTAACAGAATATGTAAAATGTTTACCGAGTTGATTTAGAAAAAAATATTTTTACTCTTACTTGCATATCCTAATCTTGCAATCCAAGGATATTGTCCTAGACTGGCATTTTTTCCTCCAACTATCCTATCACTTATACTGAGACCACAATCTTCATCATTGAGCAATTTCCAATTCTTATGCTGGTTTAGGTCTTCATTTGGAAGATCAGGGTCAACTTCTTCCTGTGAGTCTTCAGAATTTTGTTCATCTGGAATTTGAAATCATATATAGTACTTTTCTAATTTTTTGGCTATTATTTTTTAATATGATTATGTGGTAAACCTAAAACTTTTGATTATCCCTATGTTAGAGATGTTTAAAACAAATTTTGTGGGAATTATGAGAATTGAAAATAAAAGAAAATTTACTTGCGTTAGATAAAATGTATTTGCTATAAAAAAAAATTTAAAATTTCAAACAGTATTATATGCCTTATGAATAATATTATATAACTTATAAATACATATTGTAAGTGGAAAGGGAAGAATGGAATTTAATCGAGGTATTTGGTGTGTATTTCTATTTGGTTTTATTAATAGATCACTTCTTTTTTTAAATATAACTATTTTATGGTATGTAATTTATTGCAGTCACCTACTTTACAACATATTTTATTATTTGGATATTACTTTAATTTTTGCAACTTATACATTTTTTTCAGGAAATATTTTAATAAGACAAAAAATGCTATCAGAACTTGCAAAATTATTTACGAAATTCTTGTTTTTGAAGAAAATAAATGGCTGGGTTAAAGGTTTCGAAATGTTAATGGATTTTTGACGTTATTGAAAATTTTGAATTTCCTATCGTTTTCAATGTAGTTATATAGATATTCATTAATTTTTTGTTATAACTTGTGACAAATTTTAGCATTTTTAATACACTTTTAGATAAATTTATCTGAAGTTGATAACAAATGTATAAATTATAATGGTTTATTTATCGAAATAGAAGATGTGTAAAATGCATTTAGTTTAGTCCTAATGTAAATCATATTATATACTTTCGATATATGAACTTATACAAATACTATTTTCAAACACAAGTGACTATCTGCATAATACTTATAATACCTATATCAATAAATCCAATTATAATTATCTTCTTGTACATTATGAAAATAGAATTTTTTTTAGATAATTATAAGTGCTTTTAGGTAATTATAAGTATAAATTTACCCAGCAAATCCGTTGGGATCAGAAACGAAAAATGATCTCTTATAATTGTTTTTAAAAAATATTTAACATTTTTTCAATTTAATTCTTGAACAATATTCTTTTTACTTTGATTTGTGTTTTAAAGATTTCTACAAAGTCGTGTAATAGTGATTGTGTGCCATTTAACAAAATATTTAAATTATAGAGTACCAAACACAAATAATTACTAACGTTTTAAAAGCAATTTTCCAAAACTAAACTATCGATTTAATAACAATATTTAATAAATATTATTTGAATATGTATATGATTAAGAACTTAAGTAAGTATATTATATTTTAGATTATTCAGCTTTTAAAATCTTTAATCGAACAAATATTTATATGATGAAATACATTGATGTTTAATGCGTTAATAATTTTCATAATTTTAAAACACCACAATTTATCATCATCCTTTTTTAATCCATTATTTCTATTTTATTCGTAAACTTTCTAGTCAAACAACTTTTTCCATGTTCTTGTGCCTTGTCTTTCAAGTTCCTGTATTTTTTTCTCTAGAAAGTTGGCGATCATCTATATTTTTTCATTCACAATTTTAGTCTTTTTATTACTTCTATTTTAATACTGCTCCCATTTTGATACCTTTGATATTTTGTAGAAAGGATATGGATCCGATCTAGTTTTCCAATTAATCAAAATGCACATGTAACTATTACTCACTAATACTTGCCCTTTTTACTGCATTTATATTTTTAATTTCATGTATGACCAAAACCAAGTTTTAACCAACATTTGTTTTGATTTTCTCATATTTTATTACCAAATTTTTTGGTTTATCGTTAACCAGTTTGTAGATACCTTATTTAGTGTAAGCCTCGAAATTTCATTATTTTAATGTATAATGTAGTTATTCTGGCACATATGTTTTGAATAACCGATGTAAATTTGCTTTTAAATTCTGATGAATAAAATGATTTTAATAATTCAGTAAAGCCTCTAGTGCGATTTTTAGGAATTTGCATCAAAATTTTAGTTGATGCTCAAAAACAAATATTTTATTTCTTTAAATAAAATCGATGTTATATAACTTAAACGTTTTTTTTACTCTTGGTATTAGTCTTTTGCATTACATGTTAGATATTTTATATTAGTACTTTTATATATAATATAGAAAAACATTATCTTATTATACATGACAAAAATACAAAAGTTTTGAAATCTCATATACCTCAGAATTTTATAATTTTTGATGTAATTTGGTGCCTATTTCATGATTGGTATTAATATTAAAATTAATACAGAATTCGTGTATAATTTTTAGGTCTATCTCAAAATTATAAAATTTTGTATTTCAGTGTTATATTTTATATTCAGTGTTATATTTTATTAAATAAATGATACTACTTTTATTATTAAATGATTGGTAATAATATTAAAGCCAGTACAAAATTCAAGTGTAATTTTCAAATCTGCTTAATAAACGTATTTTATGCTATATCCTAGTTATTTATTGCTCATTTATTTAATAAAATAACCGACGTGCATTACATTTCATAACTAAATAATGTCTATTGATTTAATATTAATATAATAAGTTATTACAAAACTCATGTGTGATTCTTGTGAATCTGCCTCGGATTATTATTTTTTGATAGTTATTTTTAGTGGGTATTTTAAAAATATCTTATTTATTTTATTTCTTTAATAAATGATTGTATCAATATTAAAGTCAGTACAAAGCCCTTGTATAATTTTTGAAAATATGCATCGGAATTTTATCAGATTTGTCTTGATATTAATAAATGTTTGCTCTTAAATGAAGAAGTAATTCATGCAATATTTATTTTATTAGTAAATGTTTGGTATTTTATTCCAGTAAAAAATTCAAATGTAACTGTTATAAAACTGTTTCAAATTAATTGTATGTTCTAGATATTTGTTGCTTATTTTATTAAACCACCGACGAGTATTTAATATCATAATTAAATAATTTTATTAACATTGACGTGTGAGCCATGTGTGATTTTTTGTGGATCTGCTTCAAAATTTTATTGTGTGCTATTTTGTTGAATGACCGATATAAAATTGATTTTTTTATAATTACATGAAGATTATTAACATAGACAAAACTCAAGTTTTTTTATTATTTGTTCTCAAAATTTATTATTTCATTGTATATCTGGTTAGTTGGTTGTTATTTTATGCGATAACTGGTGCGCATTTTGTTTCATTTTTAATTGGTAGTAAAATTAAATTGAGTACAAAATACAGTATATTTTTTGTATTTTATTTTATTGTCAGGCTTAATTGTTATTTTTGAAATGTTGCAAAGCTTTTTTAATCATTTTTTTTAATTATTTCTTAAGTGTATTAATAATCTTTTCAAGAGTTTTTATTATATTGTTGTCCTGTTTCACCTACATAAACAGCATCGCAATCTTTACAGTCAATTTTATAAACATGTGGGTGGAAGTATATTCATAAGGATTCATTATCATAATCAATTTATTATTTATTGTTTGGAAAAGTAGTTGAAAAAACCACAATATAATATTTTTACTGTGATTGTATTAAATAAATAGGGCCTATAGGGCTAGTCTATAGGTTTTATAGTCACTAATATGAACACGAATAAGTACAAATTATATATAATTATGGTATTAATTAATTTTTTTTGTCTAAATATATGTCAGTCAAATTTCTGCAATTCAATTAAATCCATAAGTGTATCAATAAAATGAGTTTTTTGTGTTTTTGGGATGAAATATATTGTAAATCTCTTTTAAAAGCGTTTTTTTTTTAAATATCTTTTAAGAATATTAATATTTTTTTCAAGAGTTTTATTAAATATTATCCTGTTACACCTATATAACAATATCGCAATCTTCACAGTCAATTTCATAAACATATGGTAGGCGTATTATTCAAAAGGATACATTATCACTATCAATTTATTATTTATTGCTTGGAAGTGGTTAAAACATTTCACAATATAATATGTTTACTATTAAAAATTTATCTTATATTGCTAGATTTTGTGGAAAAGTGATTATATTAAGTATCGGCTAGTTTATATAGGTTTTATATAGTCACTAATATGAATACAAAATACAAATTTATAATCATGGTAATAATTACGTTTGTTTTTTGTCAAATACTATTGTCAGTCAAATATATGAATTTTAATTAAATCATTAAGTGTATCTATAAAATGAGTTTATTGTGTTTTTGGGGATAAAATATTTTGTATCAATTATCAATTCTATTTTGATTCATCATTTTAATAAACCCCCAAATAATATTTTTATCAACACTTTCTAAATAATTCAAACCAAATAGGATTTTATATTTATATAATTTATAAATCAGAATGATGAAGCACTTAAGTTTCTATCTGGAAATTTTGAAATAACGAGTCATTGTGAAATTTTTTTAAAATTGAAATAGTTAATTACGATAAATATTCAGTAATTATTAAGTTTACATACATTTAAAAAAAATCTGCTCTTGAACAATTGATATGCAAAAA